CGAACAATCATCAGCTACAAGAATACAGCCTTGGGCCCTATTCTTAGAGCCGCAGCGATCTGTATTGACCAAATGGTCAACACAGTATGGCCTGGTTCATTGTCACGCAGTGTTCCTCAGATTTGGCATCACATTCATCAAGTGTTCAAGCATTGTTCGTTGGACACTGAACTCGAACTGCTCAATGACGATCTTGTCGGGTTCTTTAACTCGGTGCCCCAAAGTCGTATTCTGGAAGCAGTGGAGATGTTGGTTCGTATGTTCACTGTCAGACACCCTGATGTTAAACTGTCGGTTTGCATCAATGAGAAGAGCAAACATTTTCGTTCCATTCATGGGAGGATTTCCAATATTCGTCGGCACTTCGATTGGAAGACCATTGATCCTTACGACTTGGTCACCATTGTTCGCCTCAGCTTTGAGTGCGGCTTGTTCGTTGCGCTGAATAGAGTGTGGAAACAAGTTGATGGCACGTCAATTGGTAACCAAATTAGTCCTGTTCTCTCTTCCCTTCCGGTGGTGATGACTGAGCTTGGTTGGGCAGCAATGTTCCCGCAGATCTCGAGTTTCCCTTCCACTTTTCTCGCAAGATATGTGGACAACAGACTGGTGATTGCACCCACCGAAGTGCATAAAACAGTGCCTTTTCAGGTCTTCAGCCAGGAGACCTTTTATGGTCCTCCGATTGTACTTGAAACTGTCGGTGATGGTCACTTTTTGGGATTTGACATCGATGTCCGAAACCGAACTGTTTACTATCTCCAGCCAAAGTTCCTTTGGCAAGTTCGACATCCCATGAGTGCAGGTAGCGATAGATTGCTGGTGTCAGGCGCGAAGTCGAGAATTTCCCTTATTCGCAAGTACACTTGGCCAACGTGTCAAGCTGAAGTAGCTGTCCACACTTTTGTGCGGTGGTTAGCGAATCTTGGATACTCATATCACCTGTGTGAAGCCTTGATGAAACGGTAAAAGAGTGTCTGAGTCAGTCAGTTGATAGTTGACAGCGGACACACATGCAGCATGTTTTCATTTGAGTTCTTTATTTGTGAGAGACTTGCAGCTGTCGACGTCGCAGTGTTTTTGGCTAAGAGACGACAACATCCTTGAAAGCAAGCATGTCGGCGGTGCCACCTTCGGATCCCAGCATCGATGAGTTCTTGAGAACGCTCACTCATTCAGCGCGTGTGAGATTGCTCAACTTTGTATCACGACCTCAACTTCGACAAGCACTTGTACTTCAATTGACAGCATTTGTGCGTGAAGGTACAGAAAGAATGCTGCAGCAAGAGTTGCGTCGTCTGGATGAGAGGGATAGAGCAACTCTGCGTGAGGAACGTCCCAGCGGTAGTGGAGCTTCAGGATCACGTTCGTCCAGTGGCAATTGCAGATCCCATCCCTATGCCCCTCCACCTCCCTCGCCAGCAATGAGGAGTGTGCCGATCGCAGTGACTGACAACCCGTCTTCCCCTCCCCTGCCTCCCCCTGGCCCTCCCCCTCTCCCTCCCCCTCCCCTCCCTCCTCCTCTTCCCCCTCCCAATTTCCCCCCACCCAGTGCCTCTGCACCTGTCCTTCCCCCCCCGGCACTGCCAGGAAGCTTGGTGCATCGTGCGCCTGACCCTCCTTTGGTGTCGAGTACCGCTTCGTCGTCGGCTGCTCCTACATCTTCAGCTACGTCAGGTACTCCAGTCAGATCCAAACCCATGCCTACCAGAAGGCGTGAATCACGCCGATTTCGACGCAGTCAATCGTCTGATCTCAGCTAAGTATGTCCGGAGTGACAGAAGTTCGGCACCTTTGCTTGCACCTGTGGCACCTGTGAGCTTTGCAGTGAGGAAACAACGTGCATCCGATGCAAGTGCTGTGAGTATCACTTCATTCATGTTGCAATGCATATCAGAACAGTTTAGCAGCATCCTGCTCAAGTTTCGCCCCATTGCACCAATGTCGAGCAACTCAGCGTGTGATCCGTTGGCACCTCTTCAGCGCTGGATTTCCTACACACAACAAGAGCTGATCACAATCAGAGGTGAATTTCGTCACTTTCGGGAAGAAGCTATCTCCGTTCAAAAGATCCAACAGTCCCAACTCGACGTGCTCACCACACAAATCAGGGACACTGAGTCGCAGATGGCAGAAGTCATGTCTGCCATCACAGAACTGTTTCAGAAACTTCAGAAGACCAACGAAGTGGTGGGCAACCTGCTGACGGATTTGCATTCCATTCAATCTGTGACTTCCCATTGTGTCAACTCTCTCCAGCAGCAAGAATCCTCAGAGTTGCCCCCAACACTCCCAGCAGTGATTGAGGTCTCAGAGTGAAACGTGAGCAGTTGCAAAGAAGACTCTGTGTGCCAGTGTTGCTGCAAGTGTATTGCAAGGGATGTGCAAGAGACGTGCAAGTGATGCGCAAGGGATGTGCAAGGGTTATGCAAGTGATCTGCCGGCAGCATGTGTTGTGAATGTTTTGCAGACACTGTTTTGACTCATGTCCTCAAGGCACTCTGCAGTTCTAAAAAGACTTGTAACGTACAGGTAGCTTCAAATTATGTCGGTGTCCAGTTTTGAGAGTGATGCTGCCTCTGTATCGGACGTGCACTCGTCCGACTTTTCGTCAGACTTTGCAGTGTCGGACCAAGAACACGATCGACGTGCAGCTTTGGCATCAGGTGTTACCTTGGTCAGTGATCCTGATTCGGCTGATTTCGTCCTTGATCATGAGAGTTCGAATGTGTCATCGTTCCTCGGCCGACAGTCTACGTCAATGTCCCCTGGTCGATCAGTTCAGTTTCCAAAGTCGAACCGTCCCGCTGCAGAACACACCAACATGCTGAAGATTGACCCGCCACGGAAACGCAAGCTTCGTATGATTGATGAAGGTTCTGATGGTGCGCGCATCAAGATTCGTCCTGCACCCAGAGCCCAATTTCGCCGCAGAATGGAAGGCACGAGAGTGCTTGGTGACGACTTCTTCATCCACAACAGAGCCCAATTTATTCTCGATTTCCTGAGACAACATGGGGAACGCATTGCTAAAGAAAAGCAAGGCCCTAGGAAGCGTTTTTCTTCTACTTTGAAACTTGTGCAGTACGTCTTAGACCGAAAGTAAGAGAGCGGTGACGGTTTAAAAAAAGAGTCCACCACTGCTTTGTGTCAAGAGAAATGATGAGCAAGGGATGTGCAAGCGGATTGCAAGTGATGTGCAAGGGATGTGCGAGGTACGTGCAAGTGCTGTGCAGGAAATGTGCGGAGAGACATGTCAGGGATGTGCAAGTGCTGCGGTTTTGTGAGTTGCTTTCATCAGACATGTAATAGAGTTTTGTATCAAGCAGTCTGGAAGCTTTGTAGATTCTGAACAACATGGATTGGGCCGCTTCTGACGTGCTCGAGAACATCTTGACGTACCTGTTGCCGATCAGAGCCAGAATCACATTCATTACCCGCCTCGATCGAAATGACGACCCGGAAGAGGCACAACCCATAACCGACACCATGGTGGCGTACACGTTCTTGCATCGTGGGATACAAGAATTTCGGCTGTCCTCCTCGGCTGAGTTGACCATGGGTTTTCAGTCTTTGCATACCACCATACGTTTTGTTCAAATCAATGCCGTAGCCTGCACCATGTTGGGCAGCATTTCCAAACGGTGGATGCGTGCTGTGGTAGACCTAGCACAGGAGCGTTTGCGAGTGAGTATCGTGTCATTGGCCAATGCTGCGTACCAAACTGCAACTCAGTGTTGCATGTACTTCGATTCTGATGCAGAAGAAGCCGAAGTCGAATTACACTTAGTGTACAGACTGCGTTTCCTGAAGTTTCGTAGCCCACTCTCCTAGATCTCCCAAGAACAAGACGTTTCGATGCAAAAATTCGTGAGAAAAACAGCGCAACGACCATCAACACTGCACGGAGCCCTTCGGGGCTTGTGTGTGTCCAACTCTGTTTCCAAGAGACGTGAGTGAGTTAGGCAGCAGGGGGCGTGGCAGTCGCATCCTAGCCACGCCAATGAAGCTATGGATGTTGACTGGATGGGCTCACAGACGTGTGAACCTGTACCTGCATAAAGCTGCTCATGGGTCACGCTTGTGGCAGCTTGAGAGCTTATCTGTGAATGCGACAGTCATGAGTGAGGGCTTGCATTGGTCAGTTTCTTGCTCAGTTCCTGTTCAAGAGTTTGTCTGTTAATGCGACAGTCATGAGTGAGGGTCTGCACATGTCAGTCTTACATGAGAGATTTGTGTTTGTCCTATGGCAGTACTTCAGATCGCATGTTCTGACTTCTCCTGACAGCTTTCAGCAATATGCACTGATTGACCAGACCTGCGACACGATGTGTCAAGTGTGTGTGCGTGCGCGTACAATGTCCGGTGTAATTCCGCTGAAAGTCAAGGCTGCTTCTGGCTGGTGTTTGGTGTTGTCGCGGCAAGCTTAGCACGCAGAAGGGCTAGCTAGGCCAGTTCGTCGGAGGACAGTGCTTTGGAAGGGCGGCATGCTTCTCAGTTGTGAACATAGGACTTGTGCTCATGTTTTGTACACCTCCGCGATTCTCAGGCTGCAGTTCTCTCCTTGCGGCTACTGGGCGCAAGCACTCGTGAGTATCCGCTCCTCTGCCTGTGCACGCAGTGTAGCCTTTCAAGACAGAGCGGCTGAGGTCCATGGAACAGGGGAAGTATGCTGTAAATTTGTCCGATGCTTACGGCCTGTGCCATTACGTCGGTACTGTACCCGATGACCTCCAGTTGATCGGTTGTATCCGGGAGTGAAATGCGATGCTGTGCCGCAGGATTTGGCTAACGCAAAGCATTTTGGATGAACCTGTGGCTATGCTGCACATGGATTCACAATTTCTTGTTTCGAGCAGTGGCACTTGGGATTGTCGCGCCCCGCGCACGGAAGCAGCTGTACAGCGTCCGTGCAGCGAGTGTCCACGTGGCACAAGCCGCTAGAAAGTGTTGACAGCCGGGTCAGCGGCGTTCCACCACCTGAGGAGACGGAAGCTGGAATGAAGCCACGACCTCAACGGACCAAGCTTTTGCAGCATCATGCCTTCACCTTCGCGCAGCGTCGTGAATGCTTGAAGAAGTAACAGCTAGCCTGTCGCAACCTTCAACTGAGCAGGTTCATTGGTTTGGGCAACAGTTTATTGGAATATCCATCGACGTTTCAGACCATGTACTTTGCCAGTTCCACGCAAGGCGTGCAGGCGCGGCATGCTGTTTGAGTCTCATGTGCATTTGCCTCTGCTTGTGCGCGTGTGACGTGTATCCATGTTCGCCCGGTTCGGCGTCGTGCCCTCGCAGGCAACTTCCCAGAGTGCTTTTCCACCGATCGTCAAGCCTCCTATCCGTGCTCGCTCTGCTGATGGGCTAGAGATGTATGCCCGATCCCAAATCGACAGACTCTATGACTATGTTTCGAGGCACGAACGTCTCGACGTGTCTCGATGCTTCCTCACCGCAGTTGCATGCCAAGGTCACTGTGAGCTTTCAGTGGAAGCTCGAGCCGCAGGCACTGCTAAAAGTTGACCTGTCTGTGAGACTACCTTTGTAGCTGAGCCGGCGAGTCCGCTTCTTCCGAAGCTCAGGCTTTGACCCCCTTGTACTACCTGCTGGGTGAGGAGGGCTATGATGATGCTTTCGTTCGGTTTGCCCGCGCAGCAATCATTAGCACATGCCCTTCAACTGCAGTGGCCGCAACTGAGCACATCAAAGCGTGAGGCGTGAGACTTTTTTTTTGAGAATTACTCGAGCTCAGGTTCGCATTTCCCTGCTGACATGTACTTCACCAACCGTACCATCATCATCGCCGCCATGCTGGAGGCTTTCAGAATGGCTGTTTTGTGTGCCGGCAGTAGTGTGACCCGTCAGGACTTAGAAAGAAACTTCCAACTTCCGGACAAAGGTCTGCAAGCGAATATCAAAGGCAAGGGGCACTGCAACAGACAACTCAGACCTTGGAAGAGGCTGATGTGTCACTGAAGCATTTGCTGCGGGCAGGCTTACAGCTCCAAGAGGTGGATTTGCCCGATGAGTTCGACGTCGAGATCGGGCAGACGCAAGCCCAGCTGCAGGCCAGTGAGCACACAAACTAAACTGCTTCTGAAGCTTCCGTAAATTTCAGCAACCATGGCAAGCTGAAACTCTGCAGGAGCTCGAGGTTGCCTTTGCCGAGCGCGTGGAGAGAGAAGTAGCTATGCAGACTGCATCTTGGACTTGAAAGTAAGTCAACAAGCTTTGCCGACAGAACTGCGGCGAGCTGGACGGATGCTCCCGTGTTGCAGCTCAGGAGCTACTCGTCTCTACTCAGCAGGCAGGACAGTGCTTGAAACAGAGGAAGGAGTATTCAGCACATGCTGTGACCACTGCGAGGTGCTGAGAAATTTGGAGACTCAACGTGGTGAGTCTGAAGGAGTTCTGGAGCTCAATCAAGCTGAGGCCGGCGCGACTGCCATGGTCAACGCAGTTATAACTTATAACCTTTATCATGGACAGGTCGACCAACTGCTCCTATTCCAGGAGCGGCAGGCATCTCTCGATCACGGACAGCAGTAGGACTCGTTTTGTCCGTCGAGCCGAGCACAGCTCTGAGTGAGCCTTCTCTTGAGGCTCTTGCCAACAACGCGATCTTGCAGCAGTTCGAGAATGATACGCAGCCCTTTGAAAGGCGTCTCACGGAGCGTCCGAAGCTCAGAGTCCGGCGCTTTGTGGCTGCGGCAGGCTGTTCGAGCTGATGGAAGTTCGACTGCTGGACGGCCACAACTCTGAGAATCTCATGTTTTCCCTGTAGAGAGGTCTCTCTGCTCACAGAGCCTCCAGCAAGCCTACCAAGTCCAAGTAGGTGGCAGAGTGTTGCTTCACGGACCTCCACGAGGAAGCAGAGAGGAGAATTCGTGGCAACAGAGGAGTCTAGCTCCCGCTACCCAGCGCGGCGAGAGGGTTCCAGCAAATCGTTGCCAGCTGTACATGAAGGCTGTTGCAGAGCCTGAACGGATTCAGTCTTAAAAGTTCGAGGGGCCACAGTCTCTTGCCGCAGTGTTCACAGGCTCCTGCAGCATATTCGGCATCCTATCTGCTTAAGCAAGTCGTCTTGGCTGAATTGCGCCAACGGACGTTTGGACTGGATCCAGGCAATTACGAGCACCACATACAGAGAGCGCAAAGCGAAGGTTGCTGTCTCTTAAGGAGAGCGCGTCTCACAAGACCTCTGCACCCCTATGTTGGATGAGCACTGGCAAAACATGGCCGGTACTGCGTTGGATGCAAACTTGCTTCGAACCTCAACCTGCACACAGCTGTTCAGCCCACCGGCTCCAGGCAGTCCCTTCTGCACTTCGTTGCGGCAGCAGAGTTGCCTGTGCTCACACGCAAAGCCAGGATCTTGTCTCTTTGTTGTATCTCCAAGCCTCCTAAATTGGTCGAGGGACTTGCCCTGGTCCAGATCAGGGGCAATTTGCAGGAAGGCGACCAGACTCATGGATTTCTGAGTGGCTGCAAAATCAATTTTCTGAATTGCTCTTTCCCAGCCTGTCCCTGCTGCTGCTTCTGAGCTTCAGAAGCCGACGCCGAGGTGGCTTTGGAATTGCTCGTTCAGGAGGCGGGGCAATGCACTAGATGCGCACTTGTGCACTCCCTAAGCCCATCTAAGCCCTTTGCCAAGCCCATACCAAGCGCCATAAACCCTGCACAAAACAGGACTGGTCAAGCTGAGCCTGCGTGCTAGATTCACATTATGAACGTTTAGTTTGCTTTACGGCTGCACCCACCGGCGGGCAGCGCAGGCATCAGCCAGCACTAAGCTGAAGCAGGCACGTTCATTTTGGAGCCATCAACCGCAAACCAACCATAATATACTATAATTCGCTTCAGTTTGAGATACTAGACCAACGAATCTGATTCGTGCACGCTGATTCAGCGTGCACATGGGCGCGCGCCTGCCCGCCGCCACAACAAGCGCCCTTCCGAGCACCCTTGGGCCGCTGATGCTGATGATGCGCGGCCCTGTGACGCCACCGCCTGTGGCTCCAACGCACGAATGATTCCGGGTGCTCGCCCCATGCTCTCCCGGGATCTCCTGTGAGGAGCCCCGGAACCCGCAGAACGGTAAAACACGGTTGGAGCGTATGTGTGTACTTCGGAAGGAGAGTGAAGCTGGGCGCAAACCGGGTACCAGTTTCCCCGGTCCCTGGGCCGGGGCCGGGGAAGTGGTACCGGGTTTGCGCTTCGGCGGCTCCCATTAGCAAACCCTCTCTCCCAGGCCGGGAGCCCCCGAGGGTCAACCTCCCCCGTCCCGGACACCCTGAACCCCAAAAACAGGCACAGCATGAAACCGCAAACTAAACTCAGAAACCCAGCACCACGGCGCCTCGCCTCCGAGAAGTCACGTTTAAGTAACTTGAAGGCTAAAGGAGTCGAGTTTAGGGTTTACGGGTTTAGGGTTTTAGGGTTCAAGGTTTCTGGTCTGGCTTTCCGGATTTTGTGGATTGGGGCTTAGGGCTTAGGGGCTTATTAGGGTTCAAGGTTTCCTGGCTTTCCGAATTTTTGGGGGTTAGGGTTTAGGAGTTTAGGGTTGAAGGTTTCTGGTGTCTGTCTGGCTTTCCCGGGATTTGGGGATTAGGGTTTACGGTTTAGGGGTTTAGGGTTCAAAGGTTTCTAGTGTCTGGCCTTCCGGTTTTTTGGGTTTAGGGGTTCAGGGTTTAGGTTGACAGTTTTTCCTTCAGAGGTACACGGCCAAGACTGGGGTAGACTTCGGAAGCTTGGTTCTCCTCTACTTTCAACGAGCGGCTCCCACACCCGAAAACGGGTGCGGTCGCTTCTGGGAGCTTTTGAAAAGCATCCAGAGTCATACGGACATGACGCTACCTTTGCCATCGACGACCAAATGACACAAAAACATGTGCCGCTTGTCTGGATGGCTTTCTTTGCACCGGGGTTGTGCGTACACACGGCCGTGGGGGAGCGGGCCTCAACGAAGACGAAAAGCATGCGTGCTTTCAGACACGAGGGTTGCAGCACTGCTCCAGAACGCATCAGGGAGATGCGACACAAGAGGTAGGCCCGAGCATGGGTAAATTACCAACCCCTCCCGAACCCCTAGCGTAAATTACCACAGGGGTCCCAAGGCCTCCAGGCCGTTAATTTACGTAAGGCGTGGTGAGACCAAGCCCCATAAACCCTGCACAAAACACGACTGGTCAAGCTGAGCTTGCGTGCTAGATTCACATTATGAATGTTTAGTTTGTTTGCTGCACCCACCGGCGGGCAGCGCAGGCATCAGCCAGCACTAAGCTGAAGCAGGCACGCTCATTTTGGAGCCATCAACCGCAAACCAACCATAATATACTATAATTCGCTTCAGTTTGAGATACTAGACCAACGAATCTGATTCGTGCACGCTGATTCAGCGTGCACATGGGCGCGCGCCTGCCCGCCGCCACAACAAGCGCCCTTCCGAGCACCCTTGGGGCCGCTGATGCTGATGATGCGCGGCCCTGTGACGCCACCGCCTGTGGCTCCTCCGGGTGCTCGCCCCATGGTTAAAACGCGGTCGGAGGGAGAGTGAAGCTGGGCTAGAGGTGTGCGGGGAGAGGGGAGGTGGAAGGGTAGAGGTGTTCACGGGATGGGGGTGAGGTGGAGAAAAGTGTGGGAGGCGGGAGAGGTAGTGGTAGGGGCGGCTGGGTGAACAGCATGGCTGGCGGATACGTGCATAGCCTTTCCCACGTTCGTTGAAGCGTAGGCTGCAAGTTAGGAGTCAAGCTCTGAGTCTGTCCTTGAGGCGCAGGACCTGGGCGACTGGAGCAGAGGCCCGGTGTCGAGGCTCGAAGGGTAAGTCGCAGCGTCGTCGTCCTTCCAGGCGTCGACACAAGGAACAAGATCGGGGAGACTGCACTGATGTTGGCTCTTCGAAGCGCGTTGGTACGGCCCCTGGCCTTGGGGTGCGCGCTCACGTACTCGCACTCCCCCAAACCTTGCACATTACTTCGATGGCGGCTTTGTCTGTGCTAATTAATGGATAAGCTGTCCCGTGTGATGCAGGGTTTCCTTTACGACCATGGTCACAGAATGTCACAGACACTAGCCACGGGCAACAGCAACGAGTTGGAGCAAACGTCTACACACTCCGGTTTCGCCAGCGCATGCTGTAGAGCCTGCCCAAAGTTTGTATCAGCATCGTAACAGCCAGCTTGGAAGCTGAGGTTAGTGGGGAAGTGTCCCAGCTCGGTTCCGCGCTCGGTGGACATGGGTGGGCGAGCGAGCAAAGCAAGAGCAGGGCTTTGCAGAGACCATTTGTGCTCGTACTAGCTGCTTCGCTGGTGTCTTCAAACTGAGCTAGCCTATCCTTCAGGCAAGATTGGATGCAACTGGCCCGCAGCGCGGGCAAATTTGACAGGTGCTTGTCGCGTCCTCCTGGAGGCCAAGGCCTGCCCGGACGCTGCAGACAAGCCCCTGGCCGAAACGCCGCTCATGGAGGCAGGGCTTCCAACTTTCCTAAGTGTCAGTTTTAATTCGGAAAACGGCCACAGAACACGAGCCGAAGGTTTTGAGCGCTGTAAGACTAGCCTTCCCGATCACGCTTTCGGCAGGCTGTCTGCGCAGGATGCCACGAGGCTGTAGAACTGCTCCTCGAATACCGAGCAGACCCGCTGAGGCCAGGGCTTAAGTGGTTTGGGACTTAGTGAATGTAGTCTGAAAGTATTGATGAGTGTCATGCGCCGAAGCTTGTCCTGCCAGATGAAGCAGAAAGCACCAAAGCATAAGAGTCAGAACACCGGAGGTGGAGGAATCGTCAGCCGTCAGCTAGCTTCATCAGAGGAAGCCCAGACTTGCAGACAGCCGCTGCAGCGGCGCAGCATAAGTCCTGATCGGCTTGCTTCGTAAATGTCGCCTGGTCATGCCACACGATCCGGATGGCTGCTTACGAAGGTTTCTTGACCAGTGTATATGCAGGAAAAGACATTTTTCGACCGACTTTCTTTGAGCTTATTGCACAAGATCAGTTGGCCGACATATTCAGGCCTGCCTTGAGATTTGTCGTGGAGATAGGTGCAGAAAGGGCTCCGCGTGTTCTGCAGCCAGTTCTGGGGTACTGGCAGGCCATATACACCCTGTTCCTCCTCTGCCTTGAGGGATACCATCTAAGAGTTCACGGAGCCACCTTTGCGGAACACTTCTTCGGCTTGAGGCGGCAAGAGCCGGAGTCGAGAGAGTTGTTACCGCTGGAAGCCCTGGAGAGAGCGAGGCGGAGACTGAATGCTCCCCCTTTGAACAGACGGCAACTCGGAACGTCCTTGGTTCTTGCTGTCGTCCTGCCTTTTTTCTGGGCAAAATGCGAAGAAAGGTTCAGGCAGCTGGAAGTGTCCCAAAGCACAGACAGCTGTCGAGCAGACATGCTCCTCCGTCGGTGCTACCCGGCGGCACACACTGCGAGCACTGGCTTGACATTCGTGTATCGCCTTCTCTATCTGTTAGAGCAAACAGGCATCTGGTCACCTTGCTTGCACCTACTAGGCTTGCGGCTTGCGCGACACTTTCCGGACCCCCCAAATCAGGCACAAGATGAGGCAAGTGCCAAGGGCCTGGCCAAACGCATACGTGACCTCGTGGTGGTGTGTGGCAAGAGCTCTCTTTGGGGCGGGATCTACTTGCTTCAGTTTGTGCAGTGGTGGTATCAGCGGGAGCAGATTCTGCAACCTTCGCAGCCCCGCAAAGCACCTCCTCCGCCTCCTGAGCCTTACCCTTATGTGGCAAGTCTAGACAGTCTATCTCAGCCACTACAGCTTGTCCTGCTGCCAGAAGATAGGACCATATGTCCGCTATGCCACCGCCGCCGCACCAACGCCGCTATGTCGTGCAGTGGATATGCATTCTGCTACACTTGCCTGGTGCCTCATGTGCAACAGCATGGCCACTGTCCGATTTCTGGTCAGCAGATGCTTGTAGAGGAAATCAGGCGTGTGCGTGACGAGAGCTGATTGGCCCATGCCGGAAAAGAATGGAAACGCGGTAGTAGTATGCCTGCGGCCCCCGCATTTTAGGGCGCTGTCGTTCTTGCAGGTGTGCTTTTTTGTCCAGCTGCAAAGGAGCACCGTGAACAACGTGCGAGCTAGGGATTTCGTCAAGATGGCCTGCGCCGAGAAGCCGGAGACCCGGAGCTGACAGGGAGAGGGGCCAGAGGCACTGATTTTTTTTTCAGCTGCAACATGCTGCAACCATCCTGGCGTTCTGGATCTCCAGCACTGCCCCTGCGATACTTTGCTTTGCGGCGAGCTGTTAGGCAAGACATTCTTTGGCAACAACTGCAGGACCGTTCCGGATCGCGGTGCCAAGAGATTGCACAGCAAACTCTGTTTCTGCAGGAGGCCGGCGAACATGGAACAACCGGAGTGGCCAGGTGCGAAGAGGAGCTGCGACATGCCACTCCAAAACGCTGCGATGTCCTCACTGCAAGTACTCAGTGCATGAGGAGACGCTGGTGCCGAATGAAAAGTTGGAGGTGAATGCGAGACAGGCTTGGGAGCCTTCTGTCAGAGAGTCACAGGCGTGTCACAGCAACGCACGTTGTAGTCCTTCAGGATGAAGGGCTCAGGGAAAGTGCCGTTGCAGAGGACGATGTGTCAGAATCTCGTCACCTTCCAAAGTGTTTACCCAAACCTCTGCAAGAAGGATCTGCGTGGTCCTTCCGCGACGCTCGAAAAGTTCGGCGAGGACCCAAGCAGAAGCTGACAAGTGCTTTTCATTTGCTGCTACGGCAGGATCAGCGATCAGCTCCGGCCGAAGAGGAGGCTGAGGACACCTCCAGATCTGAAGGAATCATGTTGTGCAGCCGTCTCTTTGCCATCTTCACTGCAGCAGGGCTACGAGCAGCCCACTGTCCCGTCACAAAGCCAAGCCAGAACATGGAATGGGAAGGACTGCGGGATGTGAAGCAGCATGAATAGGCCGTTAGAATCGCTTTGCACGAGGACGTGGAGCATGGCACTTTATCAGCACTATGGTCTGCTGTTCGTGCGGCTGAGCCTCCTCGAGCTCGGCAGCTGCTAAAGGCAAGTCGGCCAACCTACACGCAGATATGAAAGAACAATCGCTGATAAATCTTCTAGGCATTGGAGAACAAGCACGCCGCTTTCGTGATGCGAGACGATGATGGCTTTACGTTGTTGCACTTCCCTCAGCCTTTGACTCCCATGAGCCGGAGCAGCATCCATCATCACCCTGTGCGCTAAGGCATCTGGCTGTGATGACACCCCCCAGCGATCGCGTTTTCGCAACTGTGGCCTTGCTCCTGCAGTTCCGCGCGCAGGCATGATCGGCTTGCATAAGTACTGTAGCCAATAATCAGCTCATGCCTCTGCGATTAAAAGAGAGGTCAGATCAACAGGACAGCAGCGGCTTTCGCTCAAGTATGTGTATGTTCTAGCATGAGTGTGTTCAGGGGCAGCGTATGTGTCTACGCGTGTGTGCGCAGGGAGAGGGAGGGGGGCACTGCTGAACATGCAGAGAAAGCCTGGTTTTGCATTATTAGAGATTGCATCAATACCTGTGAGGGTGGTGCGGCGGGGCTGTAGTATGGAAGCCTTGCACATTTTTTCTGAAATCTTCAGTTGAGTTACCATACGGGATGTGCACTGATCTTTGGCATTGCAACATTGTGTAGTGAGATTGCTTTTCCTTGTACCATAATTGCTGGTGAGATGAGAAGCCATCATCATTGATACCGCATGCACTAGAATTAGCTGTATCATGCGGAATCATGTCCCATGTATTCTACTTCAACATCTTTAGCTTCATCACCCCTTGACTCCACCAGCTACAAGATCAATGGACTACGAATGAAAAAGCACATGACTCAAGTGCATTGTGAGGTGTGTGTTTGTGTGTGTCTGCGTGTGTGCGTGTGCGTGTGTGTGCGTGTGTGAGTGTGCGTGTGCGTGTGGGTGCGTGTGTGAGTGTGCGTGTGCGTGTGCGTGTGCGTGTGCGTGTGCGTGTCCGTGTGCGTGTGCGTGTGCGTGTGCGTGTGCGTGTGCGTGTGCGTGTGGGTGTGGGTGTGGGTGTGGGTGTGGGTGTGGGTGTGTGTGTGTGTGTGTGTGTGTGTGTGTGTGCGCGGGTGTGTGTGTGTGTGTGTGTGCGTGTTTGTGTTTGTGGGTGTGTGTCAAGCCCTGTCACCAATAAGGGATTGTCTTTCGAAAAAGCAGTTGGCATGGCTCTTGTGCTCTTAGCCATGCCAACGAAGCTATAGAGCACAGGTGGAAGGGAATGTAGACATACGTTCCTGTACCTACAGAGTTGCACCTGGATCCATTGATTGGAAAGCTGGTGGACTCACTTGTTTCGCATCATGCTTTCAGAGCAGCTGCCCTGTACAGATCTAAGAATAACAGGAGAATCATTGAGCCTCGAGTCCTGCTTGGCCCCAGACCTCCTGGAAGTTGATCTTCCAATGATGACGTCCAGCAGTGCTGGTCAAACAAATGATGAGTGGCTGCGCGATGGATGCCTAAGTGTGCGTGGGTGTGTGCGTGCGTGTGCGTGGTTGCTTGTATGAGTCTGACAGGTCGATTCCCGCAACCTGCTGGGCGAAACACCACTGATGTGCAGCACTTGTCTGCATTGCCCGCGCATTGTCCAGACGTCGTGACGTAGTTTTCAGACAGCGAACATCCAAGTGTTCCCTTGTCCGTTGTGGTCGTGTTGAGTTTCGGCCGAGTCGATGCTGCAGCCTTCATGAGTCTGCCAAGGCTTGCATGCCGTGCTGCCATGGAACGTCCTTGCGACGCTTCGCCAGCAGGCCCATGGCTTCGCCAGCACCCAAGCATCGTGGTTTGTACTTGTGGCACCCTACAGTCCTTAGAGCCTTCGCCCAAGTTCAGATTTCCAGCTTGAGAAAGCCCCCAAGCGCACTGATCGAGTAAGCAAATGCTTTATCTGAGTGCAACATGGCTCGGGACTGGTTGTCGCACTTTGGCAGCAAGTCTGGAAACGCGGTCGCGGCTTTCGTCAGTTACATCCGCTCAATGACTCTTGAAGTGCGCAGTCAGGGGTGGGTGTTAATTTGATCTGTAAACGCAGAGGAGGTGGTGATAGTATACATATATCCAAAGCAGGACAAAGTTCAGGATGCTAGTTCTGACCTACCCACCACTTCACCACTTCACTCACAGCGACTTGTGTGCCAGTGCGAAGTGTTGAGGCCCAATGCGCAAGCTGTTGGAGGTGCTTGACTGACGTCGTCGCTGCTGTCAAGACGACATTAAAGAGACCCGTCAGAGTCGACCAGGCAAGAGCAGATCCGAATGCAGCTGACCTTTCTGGTGAGCCGCCGCTGATCGAAGCTGCCTGCTATGGTGATCTCGAGGCGGCAAACACTTGCTGCCAAAACGCCATAGCATATCCTAAGCGAGTGCAAGGTGAAAGGTTGCAGGTGTAGGCCTAAGCACAGGACTTCAATTGCACGCAGGATTCGGGTTTTCGAGATTGGCTCCGTTCTTGCATGGCAGGTGTGCCAGCTGTTGTTGGAGGGTCGTGCAGACGCTGCCCATGAAAGCACAGTGCGGCGCCAAGATGTAGCACTGCTACGTACAAGTTGCTGCGCAGAACAGCTGGCTTGGGATGAAGCTTGCTCGAGCCCGAGAAGATATGAAGTGTAAGTGAAGTTCAAGATCGTGGATGGCGACCACGGGTTCTGAGCAGCGTGAAGCGCCTTGCGATGATTTCGGAAGGATAGAGCGAACAATGAAGCCGGCTCAAAAGTGACGATGACGGCAGCCGGCACAACGGCTTGGTGAAATGCGCATCCGCTGCACGCATGCTCAACAGTGAGCGTCGGCAAAGGAACAGGTGAATGTGGATGGATAGTCGCACGGAGCAGTGGAACTAGATTCCAAAATTGAAGAGTCCATGTCCAGGTGCGACATTCCGTCAGCGTAGCTTGTTGTACTGCACACACAAGCAGACACAGGAGCAGGCTGCATGACGGTTGAGTTTCTCCCAGCTGAAGGTGGGCGTAACAGCGCTCGGCCTGGCAGAATGCGAAGGCCACAGAGAGGCACCTCATACCTGGCCAACCGAATGAAGTTCTGGACAGTTGCATCTTGCAAAAGCTACAGCAGTGATCGGGCAGGTTGCTGAGCTTCTCACCCAGCACTTGCAATCCACGGGCAAAGAGGCTGCAGCGGCGCAGATCGGCTCAGTAGTATTGTCAATTCTTGGTCTCGAAGCGTGACAGGACTTTGCAAGCAAGGCTGCTGAAGCGATCGTGCAAGCTGCGCCTTTGAAGCAGAACCAGTCTTGCTGCTGGCATTCTACAAGGGTGCTACCTCGACACTTCGCACTGCGACAACCGAACTGCAGTTATTGAAACCTCGAGTGCTGGGCGACACTTTTGGTTCTTCGCTCGATTAGCCAATGATTGAACTTGGCAAGCTTGAGGGACGGCCGCTGCATTCGGATGATTGCCACGAAAGTTCTCTTGCACAGCACACGGGCGGGAGACACCTTCGGGCAACGAGTGAGCACCACCTGGCATTCCTCAGTCGGTTGAACTTTTCCGAGTAGGCTGCAGATCTAGCACTTATTGTTTTCGCTGGTCAAAAGCATGTTTCTAGATCGCAGCTGGAGGATCTATGTTGACCATGTCGCAGTTGATGCACTGCGATTCAGCTTCATGCACATGACTTCCTGTCCTTGTGACCATATTATGCAGCAGGGACGGATGAAGGGTTGAAAGCTGATGCAAGCCAAAGCATGTGGTCGGTGTACACTGGCAGAACCCTGGTCAGAACGTGGTGATACGGGGTGTTGTATGAGGACATCCAACCGCAAGGACATGTGGTGACTCCACACCTGACAAGGAGCAGATGCAGGCAGGCAGCACGAACCGTGTGCCAAGGCTGCGGCAAATCAGCTGAAGAAGGAAGACCTCTGCCAAGGTGTGCGAACCCAAGTTGAAGCACTCGACCGGGGGTCCGCGACATCTGCGCACTGCGTCGGCCAAGGACGGCGAGCAGAGCTTCGATCAGAATGTCCCATCTTCTCCAAGTGCACGACCTTCTGAGGCATCACGATGCTCGCGTTTAGTTTAGTGGTGTAGTTCCCTGACAGAGTGCTTGCCGAGGCGGGTGCTGCTACAGACAGATCTGAGCAGATCACTGCGAGTACCTTCCCTACGACATGCCTTAGACAACACGTATGGCCTGATACTTCCAAGAGGTGTTTGCCGTTGAGTCCACAAGTCTCAGGTCCACCCACGGACCTTGGCGCAGCAGAAGCTGGGCCCTGCTACCGAGAGGCGTGCCCGGAGCCTCCCGCAGGGTTTGCATTGTTTATGTTAGGTTTGTTAGCCTCCACGCACAAATTGCCGTCGCTGCCAAAAGCACAATACAAGACATGCGCATCATGCACGGATGATGTCCACATGCATCACAGTCCATGCTTTCCTGCTTCCTCTTTCTGCGAAACTCCGTTCGAGCCCATCGGGTCAATACTAGGGGCATGAACACCTGCAGCTGCTTTTGGGATTGATGGGTGTTGCACGAGACGGACTCCTTGTTCTCGTGATGCTGGCTCTGTGTCCGTCGCTTGCACCGTGTTTCCTTTCCGGTCGACACCCATGCCTTGCAGGCCTCCAGCTTCCGTCTTCCTCTTGTTGAGCTTTCGTCCCTGCATGAGCTCTAGTGCTTGCGAGTGTCAAGGGCCCTGGGTCACATTCTGTAGCAAGGGCGCACCGCTTGACTGACCTCTCTATAGGACTTGGAACCCAGACGGATTCCACAAGAGACCGCATGCATGCGCAGTGAAATATGTCTCACACGCCTGCGAGTTGTGACAAGCTGATGACGAGGCGGCAGAGGATCAGCTGAAGAAGGAAGACCTATGCCAAGGTGTGCGAACCCAAGTTGAAGCACTCGACCGGGGGTCCGCGACATCTGCGCACTGCATCGGCCAAGGACGGCGAGCAGAGCTTCGATCAGAATGTCCCATCTTCTCCAAGTGCACGACCTTCTGAGGCATCACGATGCTCGCGTTTAGTTTAGTGGTGTAGTTCCCTGACAGAGTGCTTGCCGAGGCGGGTGCTGCTACAGACAGATCTGAGCAGATCACTGCGAGTACCTTCCCTACGACATGCCTTAGACAACACGTATGGCCTGATACTTCCAAGAGGTGTTTGCCGTTGAGTCCACAAGTCTCAGGTCCACCCACGGACCTTGGCGCAGCAGAAGCTGGGCCCTGCTACCGAGAGGCGTGCCCGGAGCCTCCCGGGTTTGCATTGTTTATGTTAGGTTTGTTAGCCTCCACGCACAAATTGCCGTCGCTGCCAAAAGCACAATACAAGACATGCGCATCATGCACGGATGATGTCCACATGCATCACAGTCCATGCTTTCCTGCTTCCTCTTTCTGCGAAACTCCGTTCGAGCCCATCGGGTCAATACTAGGGGCATGAACACCTGCAGCTGCTTTTGGGATTGATGGGTGTTGCACGAGTGTCGCTTTGTCGCAACTCGTACCTGCCCCATTTGCTCGGGAACTTTCCCTAGCTTGCATGCCATTCGAGACCATCTCCATCGCAAGCACGGTGTTCTAGCGGAGGTCACTGCCTACATGTTCGGTTCCACCTGCCTTTGGTGCATGCAAAATTTTCATTCGTCTGACCGACTAAAGTACCACCTCAATACTCAGCGGGCGTGCCTTCACGGTCTCCGTGTTACTGTCGGTCCTGTCTATCACTATGGCTCCGGCACCAAGCGAAACGGTCGTGCTGCTCACCGAGGTGTCCCCCCTTTCCGTCTCTGTGGGCCCTGCAATGCCACCCCTGTTCAACGTAAGGCAGCTGCGCTGGGGGTACCTGCTGAGGGAGTGGGACGAGATGCCCCACCTTCCGGCCTTTCTGACCTTGTTCCTGGCAACCTTCACCGTGCACCGGGCCCCGTTGTTGTGCGTTCGGACGACCCTCCTGTCTCTGTCCCGCCTGCGCCCGTCGCTGCCCCGCAGCGGGTGACGCCCGATGGTTTGCTCTGGTTGATGGAGCTGCTGAGCCGGCTGACTGGTCTCTTCCTTCTCCGTGCTGGCAAGGAATTTTGGCTACGCCATTTGTTCTTCATCTGCCCGCGGCATGGCATCAGTTCTGGCCGCTTTGGCACTGCAATTTTACCAGCCTTGGGAGCACCGTGCTCTTCGGGCTTCTCGTTCGGCACGCCTTGCTTGTTCCGGCGGGCTCTGGTCGCCACCCTCTCTAGACCGTGGCAAATGGTCCATGGTTGGCCTTGCCTCGGCCCTTGTCTCCTTTCGCCTTGCCTGCAAAGCTGTTGCCCTATAGGGGGGGCGGTAATCCTGGGCCGGAGGGACTTCGACTTCTTCCTCACCTCCTGCCTTCCGCCTCCTTCCTGGACTTCCCGTCCCGGATGGGTCATCTGTTTCTTGCCTCTGGTTCGTCCTTTTCGGTTCTCTCCTTGCGTTCGGCCCTCTCCGGTCGACTCTGGGAAGAGCTCCGCACTTCGCGCGCCGTCTTGGTTTTGCGTGCGATGTGGGCCTATCCTTGCCTGGATTCTGGCTGCTGAGTCTCCCCCTTGTCTGTACAGCTCTTTCGTTTCTGTTCTTGGACCGCGAGGTTACAGCAATCTCGCTTTCGGGTCCGTTTGCACGTTTTCTGACAGCACAGGACTTCCCTCTGGCGTGTGAGTGAATGAGAGTGGTGTTGCACAAGACGGACTTCTTGTTCTCGTGATGCTGGCTCTGTGTCCGTCGCTTGCACTGTGTTTCCTTTCTGGTCTACACCCCTTCCTTGCAGGCCTCCAGCTTCCGTCTTCCTCTTGTTGAGCTTTCGTCCCCGCATGAGCTCTAGTGCTTGCGAGCGTCAAGGGCCCTGTGTCACGTTCTGTAGCAAGGGCGCACCGCTTGACTGACCTCTCGAGAGGACTTCGAACCCAGACGGATTCCACAAGAGACTGCATGCATGCGCAGTGAAATATGTCTCACACGCCTGCGAGTTGTGACAAGCTGATGACGAGGCGGCAGAGGATCAGCTGAAGAAGGAAGACCTATGCCAAGGTGTGCGAACCCAAGTTGAAGCACTCGACCGGGGGTCCGCGACATCTGCGCACTGCGTCGGCCAAGGACGGCGAGCAGAGCTTCGATCAGAATGTCCCATCTTCTCCAAGTGCACGACCTTCTGAGGCATCATGATGCTGGCATTTAGTTTAGTGGTGTAGTTCCCTGACAGAGTGCTTGCAGAGGCGGGTGCTGCTACGGACAGATCTGTGCAGATCACTGTGAGCACCTTCCCTACGATATGCAAGAGACACTGCTAGTCGCTTTGTTATTGTGCAAGACGGTGGCCGTGAGTCTGGAAACTGTAAGGTCCATCCACAGATCTTGTGCCGGCAGAAGCGGGGCCGGTGCTTAAGAAGGAGGTGCCTCGGGGACGCACGCCACAGGCCGGCTCTGCCACCACAGCCCATGGTGCAAGCGACCGCCTAGTCGGCAAGATTTGGGGAGTGCGAAGTGCGAGACAACAGCAGAAAAACAGACATGGTCGGGATCACGTGACTATCAAGATTTCGGCACATCCAACACCTCTTGCTTGCGCGGGACCACATGCCATTGCCTTCGAATTACCAGATTGTACAAGCTTGTGTTGGATTTCAGTGGATCACGGGGGCTTGCTGCAAGGTTCCCTATTTCATATCCTTCACCTGATTCAAACGGCTGCACACGATAGCATGATACAAATGGCACATTACAACATGCTGCAGGTGCCCTCGACGACTCTTGATCTCTATGCTATCTCAAAATAGACTATGTGGACACGACGGTTATTCTCCACTTGTGCACATCGTTACACCGGGAGTTATCAGCTTTGTTACATCATAGTGCATGTGTACATCGCTCATTTCTCTACTGCGGGGTCTTTCACTCTGTCTCGGCATGTTACACGCATTGTTTTCGATGCTCATGATGCTGTATACTACAGTCGGCAACGTCGTTTAGCCGAATTGCGATGGGTTGTTGTGTTCTGAGTTGCATAACGTAAACTGCACGAACATCCATTGCGATCGCACGGGGGGAGATTCCGGGGAGATTAAAGTCGTCCGCGCCACCGGCGCCACTTGCCCTCGCGCGCCACTCGTGCCACTCGCACTGCAGCGACGCCACAGGAACGAGTGGAACGATGGGAACAGGGTCCGCGCCACTCGCCCGCGCGCGCCACTCGCGCTGCAGCTATGCAGCTGTAACGAGTGCAACAGGTAAGGTACAAGGCGAGTGGAACGATTGGAACAGCGTCCGCGCCACTCGCACCACTTGTGCCACTAGCACCACTGGCGCCACTCGCCACTCGCTCTGTAGGCGAAAGGAAAGAGTGGAACAGGTCACGTACAGGGTGAGTGGAATGAGTGGAATGGTCGGAGAGAGTGGAACGAGTGGAACAGACGGAGTAACCCCCCGACGGCTATCCAATACTATCAGTTGGCATCGATGACGTGCACAAGAACACAAAGATATCCAATCAAGAACTGCAGTTTTTGGCAGCCAAGTAAAGACAAATATGGCAATCCTTCTCACAACAACTGAGCTCCACGAAGAAATTACCGCCAGGTTGACACCATTTTGATTGTCGTCGATTTTGCCTTCTAGTGTCTGAAGTTTGATGCCCCGCCGAAGCCAATCCACCCTCGCCTTGTGACGTGCACGAAAAGCTCCATTGCCTGACGAACCCTCTCTCTCTCTCTGTCTCGCTCTTGGGTTCTGAGTATTTGCAGCAACGTGGCCGTGCAGCTCCAAGCCGCTCAGGGCGAGGCCTGGACCCAGGAGAAAGGGCCGTAATGCACGGGATGCAAACCCAAAAAGGCGGGGAGGAAGGACGATCCAAAAAGGCAGGCGGCCGCAAGCAGCATCGCCATAGCAGAAGCTACAGACCTACAGGGAGCTGCGCATTAAACTATATACTATATACTGCAGCTTGGTTTTTCTCATAGTCTTCTGCCCTGTTTTCCTGCTCCCCTCGCGCCCCCTGCCATGCAAGTGCTATGGTTTCCGGGACGATGCGAAGTGTTTATCTGCCATGCTTCTAGGCTAGGTTTCCTTATGTGTGCCTGGCTTGTCCTTATGCTCGCCTGGAGTCTCCTTATAAGACAACAAAAAGATGTTGTGTAGTCTGTGTGCTCGCTCTACATCGGTGGTTCAGGTTGCTCGTGATACTCGGACGGCATCATGACTTCGTTTGCACTATAGTGAGTAGGGCTTGAGCTTCTCCTTCTCCTGTTGTCTTACGACTACTTCGAATTCGGGCAAGGTGTCCCAACGGTCTATGAGTCTATGAGTTTTTCGAAATGTCGCAAGCCAACACACAGCAGCGCAGATAGCTTCCCTTCCGCAGGAGCTTCTAGAGGGCATGGCTGCGGGCCTCGTCCCGTCGCAAAAAGAATTGCTGTAGTGTTCGCGTATACCGTCCCGTGCCAATATATAATGTTTCTTTCCGTTCTGGTGGCAGCATTCCGCACCAAACCTCTCTGTTTTGCAGCAGGTCCAAGGGGGTATATAACCTAGCAGACCTAGCAATCCCCAATTCTCCCTGCTGCTCGGCTGGGTTTTCGAAGGGTCCCTACCTAGTACCTTCCGCCCTTGAACTGCGCTCCCTTTAAGATCCTACAACCCGAAGTGAATTAAGTTTTTGCATGTGGGTGCACGGTTTGTCTTGCCTCGGAAGTTGCCGTTAAGGTGGGAGTTGGGGTCTCCAGGGGCTTAAGGAGCCTGCAGCCCGAAAGAAAAAACTTGCAATGTCCCAGTCAAGATCTCCGTAACAAGCAACAACTCCACAATCAGGTTTCGCAGGTTGTGGACTTCAGACATGCTCACATCGGGCGGGGCACGCGGCGTTTCGCGGAGTTTCGAGATGCTGCAGTTGGGGCGAAGGAAGTCACTCGGTTTTGCGGAGGGAAAGCAAAAGTGCTGTAATTTTGGAAAGCAGGTTTTTGGCCATTTATCGGCCTCGGATTTTGGCTTTGAGGCTGCAGTTGCAGGTTCGGCCGGGAAGGGGCAGGCAGCTCGAAGGAAACAATGAACAATGCCAAAACTCCCAAATCTGGTTTCGCAGGGATTACAAGCGTTTTGGCACGGCCTTTGTTTAATTTTAGGGGGTGCACGTGACTGCGTTGCCGGTTTTTGCAGAGATGTGGCAAGTGAAAATCACTTTTTGAAAGGGCGGAACGATTTGAAGCTTCTCTGCACAAAAGCAAGAAGTCCAGAATCCGGTTTCGCACGGGGGGAATAAGAAAAAGCAAGGTTTGCATAAGGGGCAGCGGGGGACGAAGCAGAAGAAAAAGCCGGGTTCACATATGAGGAGAAACCTTCAGCACAAGGAAAAGCTGGTCGCAGAAGGGGGGAATTCCGCAGCACAAGAAAAAACACACCACAACCACAATCACGGCCTACAGCCCTCTAAGGAAGAAGTCAAGGCACACAGTGATCGGGAGGAGCTTGGAAGGCTTTCCAACCTTGACAGACTGCAGATGCGACGCCTGAAAGCTGAAGTTTGCAGCACCTGTGTGCATGGGCTGTGCCAGACCTACACTCGGATGTTCATACTATTTAAGTATTGCAATATTACACATATATATATATATATATAAAGTCTAGACGTAAAAATTGTGATATTACACATGCCTTACCTACCCATTCATGCATGGACGATGTTGAGGTCACCGAGAAGCCAGAACACTATACATGCACACGCTAGTTGATTGCGTTGCGAAGTTCGAGCCTTCAAACGTACTCCTCGAGACAGGGCATTGTTCAATTACTGCAGGGAGAAATCTTGGGCCTTGATGGCACCGGGTGTCTGCCAACTTTTGCGTCGGCTTCGAGTAGCAGGATCATACATCTACCGTATCCCGACCTTCCTGGGACCCGACTCCAACATGGCAAATTTCATCAGCTCTTTGTTGCTTGATAATTCGTTGTTTGCCCTCGCTCCGGGTTGTGCCTTTCTGTGCGTTCTGCTTCCATAGATGTGCTGCTTGCGAGTGCAGCAGGACAGGTCGACGCCGCCATCACAGACTCGGTCTGGCAACACATCTTTCACACCCACGCTTGCATCGTCCCCTGTGATCAAGAGCGCATCGTCGGCGTATTCATCCGCCCCCCGACTGCAGTCGTTTTTCACCGTCCGGACAGCGATGCTTTTGCGAACGTTCTTGGCCTTCCCAGGCTCATTCAACGCAGAAGTCAACCGATCCAGCTACATCTCGGCACACAAGTGGTGGCCTAAGCATTGCGTCAGCACATGCGATTGAGATCCTCTTCACTACACAACTGCACGATCTTCCTGTCACAGTGTCCTCAGGCGCTGCTGCTCAGCCAACTCGTTTGCCACCTCGACCCAACACAGCCACGAAGTGACTTGGCTTGACAAGTCAGGGTGGATACCCCTCACTTGGAGGGTCGGGGGACATAGTAACTGGTTATTTTGGGGACTTATAAGTACCATAACCCCAATTAGGGTCCCTTTTAGGGTACTTATAAGTCTACTTACTAACTACTTACCAAGCCTTCCGACCCCCCAAGCACTGGTATAACAATGCCTTTCTATGTCGTTGTCGGAGGGGAAACAGGCTGGGCCCATGTGGCGCTCCCACGCATCTTGGCTTTTGCTCTCGTACAGGTCTAAGCCCGATTCATCAACTTCTGGCGTTTCTCTCGACCCATACTCTTTTGACTCCGGTTTCTTCTACTACTGTTTAGGGTTTTAGGGTTTCGGGTTTAAAAAAGTCGCTGGGGCAAGTTGCGGTGTCTCAAATTCCGCCGAGCTAAGGACACACGAGCCATTCTTCGTCAATTCCCGCTACACCTCTACAAGCAAGCCACATGCAAAGGCAAAGACACAAGCACAATCCCAGCCAAAGCGCAGACCACCAACTCCAGAGTCAAGCGATGGCGAGAATCAGGACTTGGCACAGTAATGGGTTCTGATACGCCGGCTTGCGATTTGGAAAGCTGCGAGGAGAACGTTGGACCTCGGATTCGAAAGGCAATGGAACCTTTCCCGAGCTACAGCGGCGAGATGCCACCTCCCGAGGCTCCGTGAATTTACCAGTGACCGTCGAGCGTTGGAACATGTCGCATGCAGGCCGAGTCGACATGGTCCGACCAGGCACCTTAATCTTTCCTTTGGCCACCATGTACACATGTACACGATCATGTACCAGGAGAGCTGTTTGCTTGCGACAGGAACTGTACAACTACTTCTTCTCCAGTGGCTTCATCAAGCCGAAAAAGAAAGCCAGCAAGCCGAAGCCGACTCCGCAGCAGATGGAGCAGTACTTTCGCACATTGAACCTCAGGCCTTTCCATGCTTCAGTGCTTTTTTCTTGGGTTTGCTGCTTCCCACGACTGCCTCCAAGAGTGCTGACATCGCAGGCCTGGAGCCAAAGCAGCGGCGGTAAAGAAAGCCTATCGACAGCTTGCGCTGCGTTTCCACCCAGACAAGAACCAAGACAGCAGCAGACTCAGCGTGCATTGCCCGTCAAGCACATTGGAGTGGGCATGGGACGCTTAGCAACAGGCACCGAAGCAAAGTTGAAATTTCAAGAGATCACAGAGGCCGGACCAGGTTTCAGACAAAGCTGACATGGAAGTCCAGAACTGCCGCTGTGTTGTACTGCCAGGCTTATGCTGAGGTGTGCAGAGTATTAGATGGGAAAGGGATGAACGAGCAAAAAAGGATCGGCGAAGTTGCTGCATCATCTCTACGATGCCTGCAAATGCACAGCTTGTTTTGGTTGAAGAGGGATGAGACAACTTGAGAGAGTATAGTTCCTTCGAGCTGTTGGCATTAGTTGCCTGCAATGGCTTGGCTGCATCAGCCGTCTGCCTGCATCGATCACCCAGAACTGTATAGACGTCGAAACTCAAAGGCTCATACTCCGACTTCGTAAAGAGCTTGTAACGCTATGCATTCAAATCGAGGGAAGCTCCAAATATCACAGCTTCTCAGCATCTCCGCGACAAAATTTCCTGGCCGGCGCACCTCGTCCTTCCGTCGTTCGTGTGTCTGTCCGTCTGCCGCGTCCATCTATCTGTCTATCCGTTTGTCAATGTGTTGCTCCGGCTGCCTATATCCTTTCCCACATTCGCTTGTCTCTCCGTCTGTGTGTCCGTTTGTTGCAGTTTCGTGCTGTCCATCCGCATGTTTCTGTTACTGTGTCTGTTCGTCTATCCATAAATCGATCGGTCATCGTCGGTCTGTTTGCTAGTTCGTCTCTATCAGTCTTTGTTCATGTCTACTTCAATGCGTCTCTATGTTTGTTCTTGTCAGTGGTTCCGGCCATTTGCATAGCGTTTCTTATGTCTGCCGGCAGGTAGGAGGGGCTTTGGAAGGGCAGGTGTGTGGGGTGGATGGGTGCATGTGTGTAAGGGAGGATCAACTGTGGCAGGCTTGTTGAGGCTCGCGTGACGCATGCTCAGGGGCATTGTTCTTTATTGCGCGACGAAGAGCGGAACGGTGACAGGCTATTTCATGACAGGTAGATCAAGTAGCCGATGGTATGAAAGTTCAGTAAGATTAGCAAGTGTGGTTGATCTAGTCATCCTTCCCACTGCAACTTCTTTAAATGCATCGAAGATAAAGCATATATACACATATATATATATATATACAAATCTAATTTTGAAATGGTTCTGCAGCAAATTGCATGATGAAACAAATTCATCTGAAGAAGATATGTATTTATTTATAGAACTGGTATTGAAAATTATGCGAGCGTTGAAATTTAAACAAAAAATATATTAGGTTGTAGAATAACGAAATCGATATTATCTAATCTTGGAATATTATATAGAATTCGTTCGCAAATTATCTGGGAAAATAAAAAGAGTATAGAATTCTCTCCTCTGACTTTAGTATTTATTCTATGAATCGAAACTACGAATCCGTATTATTACGTCTGCGCGTGGTCGTTAGTCTATTTCTATTAAATATCTGTATTTTTTATAGATTTTGATTTTATTTCTGTTCATACGAGGCACTGGAGGTAAATAGTTCAAGATTTAGTAGCGATAGAATAGGTATATTCGAGAACACCTTGAGTTTTCTTAGTAGTCTTGAGGATAGAATTCTTTGGGAAGAATATCTTGATATTGAGTCTTCAAAATTTAGATTTTTCTGGAAAGTAATATTGTTAGTATAGTTGCGAAGTAATTTCTGTTATCTTCGATGTTCGTTATGATTATTTCGGTAGATTAGAATTATTGTAGATATATTGGATGATTATTTGGATATCTTCGATCTCGAGATTCGGTATTATTTGTTGCTCTCTGCGACCGATAAAAATTATACGAAAAATTATTTATTATTAAAACGCGCTAGAATAGGGGCGGCGGTTGGTTGAATGGTTCGTAATCGTTATTCTCGATGGTGATAAGTATCTTGAGATATTGG